CATCTATTCCTTTATGGCCATCTTATCTAAAAAAATTTAGGATGACCAATGCTCATGTTTTGATATTTTTGTTGTATATAATTTTACTGATTTTCCTTTTAACTCTGATGATATTATGTACTCTAGACTTCAGTGAAATAATGTGTCAAATGTTATTAAAAAATAACAATAAAAAATATATTTTTTTGCATTTTAAAAAAGTATGGCCATCTTATCCAAGTTTACTCTAATCCATTTTCCACCAATACATTTGACGAAGTATGTGTGAAACTGTGATATATTCGACATCATTTTTTCGCTAATTATGACCAACAAATAATCAAATGCTAAAGTTTCCTTACACTTACATAAGCATTTATTTCTTTTGCATATTCCGCAGAATTCCGGCAATTTCAAAAGAATGGATACTTTGTGATGGGTTGAAATTGGACGATTTAAATGTATGGAAAAACATTTTGAATAAAAGTATACATTACAATAATATGGAGCTCCTAGAATATTTGTCATGTACCGAAAATAGTTCCATCATCTTGGAATATTTAACTTTGATGCTACGGTCAAATTATTTCTCCAAACTAGAACAATCTATGGAACCAATATGTCGTAAGATTGTGAAAAATCATATTAGGAAAATTATTGTGTTACGATTTGTGATCGACAATTATAGTGCAATAGTAAGAAGGTATTATTTTTCATGATGAAAGTAGGTTGTTTCTCCTTTGAAAATGTGAGAGTGTCTACTAAAGTTAAATCTAATTTCTTGCAATTTTACAGGTTTGATTTCCCTCCTGGTATTTTACTAAGTGATATGATTATGAATGTGTATTCGTTAGACCATCTCGACATGGTAAATTTTACAATTTAAAATTCTTTAAATTATTTATTATTCGCAATTATGATTTTATTTAACCACTTTGTACTATTCTGTGCATACTGTGTAAATTAAGTTGTTTTATTTACTTAAAAAGATATTTTTGTTTTGAGCTGTAATTGTCGACAGAGTTGTATTATCTTAACTGTTACAGATACAAGAGTTTGCTACCAGTTTATACTTCCCGAATATGGGAATTTCAATTCTTGTACAATTACTGGAATCAATCAACTTGTTGATTAGTCACCAGAAAAGATATCTAATAGACGTTCTGTACAAGTTTAAAATGTTTCATAACTTAAAATAACTGAAAATGTTTAAATGAGATCGAGTTTATAATCTCCCGGATCAAATCAATATTATATAGAGTGATCAAAATAATCACCATACAATTGCAGTAATTAAGAACGAGCTTCCAAAATGGCAAATAATTTTTAAAACTAAGAATACGAAACTGTAGTATATAGTACCTGGCTTCCTATAACACTGAGCATTTAGATGAGTCTTGTATCTGACTTAAAATAAGATTGATTATTTTACTATTTACCTTTTACTATTACATAGTGGATGAATAATTGTTTATTAGATATGTTGAAGGAGATTTATTTAGAATGAGTAGATATATTAGTGGATAAATTAAAATTATAGTAAAAAAGACTAGTACATACATGTTTCGTAACTACAGAACTATGTATTTACATTGTACTGAAAATGTTTTTTTGTTATTATTATTTAATAAATTTTTCTGCAACAGCTCTTAGATTTGTTTGTTTTTGCTAGTATTATGCTTGTTCCTAGTTGGCATTATTTGCAGCATCTTAAATTTTAATGTCAAATTCTTGAGACATTTATACTCATCCCTTAAATGATAAATTTATAAATCTCTTAAATTTCTTTTATTCAGTCATCGTAAACGTTCTTATGTACGTTAATTTGCTTTATTATTATTATAATTAAGAATAAGTATTTATATAATAATGTATTATTATCATGTAAACTGAGGTAAAATTATTTATTATTAATGAATTCAATGATCTGTTTCACTCATACAAAATAATAGGCAAAGATATAAAAAGTAAAAATCATAAATCATAAGATCATAAAGTAAATATAAATTACATACGATTTTTCCTTTGGTTTGACAAATTTCATCTGTACATATGAGTAGATGTATATGTTGTGCCAAACACGTTGTAAATACGAGTTGTTCTTTATTTTATGTGTTAGAAAAGAGTTATAAAAAAATAAATAAAAATATATTTTACGAAGGAAGCGAGAACGTCAGAAAGCAAAAGATTAGTATCCATGTACTTCTTTCTTATTTAAAAGCTACAATAGTTTCTTTGTTATTGTCATTATAAATTACATTGTTTCTGTAATTTTACAAACGTTTTATATATTCTATACAAGCATATCACAATCTAAAAATATATATAAATATTTTCAAATATATACAAAACTTGTTTGATAATCTGGTTTATGATGATGGATATTATGAGTGTATATATTTGAAATGTTCATATAATATAATATATATAATATAATATATATTTGATAAAGACTAATATTTGAAATGAACAAAATCAAACAAGCTTATAGGAAACAAAAGAAAATAAAGCTTGACGAAAGTTAGAGTTATGACACATTTTTAAAAAACTTTGTAACTGTTGCTATCAATATTGTTAATGCATTAGTCAATCATATTTTTATTCAAATATTTTCTCTTTACATATATTATCTAGATAATTCATGTGTATAAAAGAATGTTTACCGTTGAAAGTGCAAATTTCCCGAAATAAATCATTTATCGGAAAAGATGTTTGTATATATTACTTTCGTAGATTGCGCGCATGTGTTTACTGATAGAGGACATTTCCTATATATAACGATAATAGTTTAGTTTGTTTATCTTAGTTTTTACATATAAATTTATCAGATACCGTTATTGTCGTCAGTTTGAAACGATCCGTCGAAAGAGAAAAGGATATGATATTCTCAAATTATTCTTATTACGACATTCACTATTGAAGAAATATCTATTAGGGCAAATGCGACATATGTAACAACGTACCTAGCAGGAAAAACTATATGTGTTATGTTGAGACAATAAGTTATATAGTAAGTAAATCAACTATCAGTATATTTTCTCAACATTATTAGTATACTTTTAAGGAATAGACATAATGAATGTTTTATCCAGCACTCTACAATATTAACAGCTCACTTGTTAAGAGTACAATTATGTTAGTAAGTTAGTAAGTAGTTATTAAGTTTTTCTGTATTATAAATATCAACAAACATATATATATATATATATATATATATATATATATATATATACAAGATTCCTTCTTTTAACCGATATCGGTCATTAAAATCCTCTAAACGTTTTTCTTTTCTTCTTGCATTTTTTTAACTAAAACTTTAAATTAGGGAACAATGTCGCCATGTGTATTTTGTATGTATGTATTATTGTATTCAGATAGGAAATAAATATTTTTGTGCAGATATTTGGGGACCAAAATGAGGTTGGTAATATTTCTTGGAGTCATCTTGAAATTTATCGTCCCGATAGTTGAAGGACAAGATTACATTGGAGATATAGTAGATTGTTCATATGTTCCTGAGAATTTATACATCTATGATGTAATGCCAATGAGATTTGATATTAACATCCTAGTAAGACCACGTCTAAGAATTTTGTCAGGACACGTGGAAATTTTGATTAATATCACGAGAGCAACATGGAACATATCCCTACACGCAGGACCGACATATGGTTATATGGACAATATGATGGTAAAAAAATGTATTTCTCTCCAATGACTTTGACTTTTTACGTATAATATAGATATCATCCTTCAAAGCAATATACCAAAAGTTTTATATCTCAATGTCAACGTCATTAGGGCGAGATCCCTTTAGTCAATATTTTCCGCAGTATTTTCTTCTTACAATAATTATGACGTTTGCTTCATTGCCAAAGGCTAATCAGAGTGCAAAGGCTAATCGGAGAGCTTATAATTTGCACGATTTCCAATTTTGTGCGAGAAGTAATGTTTTAATTCTGGAGTTTAACAAAAAGCTACGTAAAGGACTATATCGACTTGTAATAGCATACACATCTATTTTAAATCAACATATGGAGAAACTTTTTTATCAATGGACTCTACGGACTAAAAAGTAAGTAAAGGATGAGATATTTTGAATTATATATTTAAACATAAGAGATGTATAACGATAACATATTAAACTCTCGTGTACAAAAATCTTTCTAATTATTTTGATTTGTTCTATCTGTATATCACGGCTGCATAACGAATTGTCATACACCCTGCATATAGTACAAATTACTACAATATTAATAAACGCATATCATATATCTAAAATTCGAAATTATTGTTGATAATATTATAAATTTATTCGACTATAAGTACTATAAGCTGAAAACATTATATGAAGTATTTAGTACATAAAAATGATAAAAACATGCATTTAATATGAAACACTACATCAATATCAGTCTTGCGCTAACTAGACCAGTCTTGAAACAGCAAAACATTTATCCTTATCGAACATTCTTTCTGATAATATGACAGTTTGGTGTTCACGAATCTCTACACGCTGACCGCGTTACTATCATTATTTCCACACTGGGACGATCCGAGAGTAAAAGCAACTTATAGCATCTCAGTTCGGGCTCCTGCAGGTTATACTATTATTTCAAGCGTACCTGAAATGCCTCCTTATCTTATAAAAGATGGATTAATTACGCAATTTGGCATAAAAATGGTGACGTACCAATTTTTCAAGAGGCCCAGTCATTTGATAGCATTTTTGATAGCCAATGATATCACGATGGATACTTTTGAACACGACATGCATTATATGTGGCACAAAACAGACACGGATAAGAAATTTACTTATATACTAGAGAAGGCAAAAATAGTGACATCGTTTTTTTTTACGTTCATGAGAATAGACTCGGTGTATTTTCCTAGTAAAATTAATCATGTCGTACTTCCAAATAGTCCTATGAAATCAATGGGTGCACCCGGACTTGTTGTTTACAGGTATGCAATAATCAAGTTAAAAATGTTGTTATATAAGCCGTTAACATCACAAGATATTCTTAACACTCTGAAATTCGATAACACGCATCCCAGTGAGAAATGACTTGTCGATCGACGTCGAAAAGGCGTCAAATTGACGTTGATTTGACGATTTCGACATCGATTTGATGTCATTTCGATGTCGATCGACGAGTCATTTCTCACTGGAATATATCCGAATCCAAGTTGAGTACATCGTACAAAGACATGCAATACTGTTAATAGGCAATCGTAATAAAAAGACTCCTTGTAGAGAGCAAATTGGCACACATTGCTACAGATTATTGTGTGTAAATATTTTCGAATATATGTACTATAACCAAATTATAAAGAGAGAATTTATCGCCATGTAATATTATTGGCAGGATAATACATAATACATTAATCTAATTGCTTTCATTCTAATTTCTCAATTTTTCCCCAAAAATTTCAATTAAATTAAATGTACTTTCAGTATGTTTCTATCAGCGACGATTAATAGTCATTATTTTCGGAAAGTCTAACGTATTACTGGTTTACAGAATTTGTACATAATTGCATTACAAATTCGTTAAAATATCGAGAATGCACACATATCGAATATTTAGGTGTCTGCATCATACACGTTACGATATACTGAAACTCCGGTAGTTCTAATATTTTTTAACAAGTAGAATAATAGTTTTGTCCATATTGGACAAAATATATAGACGTATGATGTTTTTAAAATGTTATTACACAGAAAAGATGGGGACGATTATGTTGTATTGTTGATTATTTTTCCACAAATAATATTAAGAATAGACCGTTATAACAAAAAAGAGCGGAGTAATAGACAAAAAAAGCAGTGAGAAGTGTAGGAAGAGGAAGGATATATAAAACATATGTTTGTGCGAACATATTTCGATTTACATATATATTAATGTCATAATAATATTAATGTCATAATAACGTTCCATAAAATGTACTTTCTTTGAATTTATAGGGAAAGAGATATTACGTTCGATGAAGCTTTAGAATTTCCTAGTCGAAATCTTGATGTTACGACGTTAATAACATACGAAATGACACGTCAATTATTCGTCAATGTTATCACGTCCGAGCCAGACGCTTATTATGTAATGTTGAACGAAGTATTCGCATCATTCTACACCTATTACATCATGGATCAGGTTACTTTACGTCATTTGAATTAGCAAATTACAAATAAGCTTTCGTTGTTAATATATACAGTTAATATATAGTTAGCTCTTCAAAAAAATTAAACGCTTAGTAAAAAATGTCACATTAATGACACATTATGTCACATTAATGTCATATTAATGACGAAATAACGCTTATTTATTCTGTTATTTAAATATTATCTTCGATATCACGTTGATAAATAGCGATAATAGATAGCGGCAATAAACAACCTTTCGTTTCTAGACATGGGTACCAGATGAATTAATGGAACTGTTCGTAGTCAAAATTATCCAGTCCACTCTAAATAGTGACTCGCACTATGACACAGAACCTATTATACACAACGCTATGAACAGCGATGGAATCGATGGATTATTTTATCCTCTTCTTTATCATAAGAAAGGTGAAGAAAGGCTGAATAAATATTTGTGTGTTTATCTGATTATGTTTAACTTGTTTAATTATATATATGTTTTATTATTTGCATCAACATAGCTTTCGCTATAGTTCGCATGATGTTTACACTTTACAATCCCAATACTTTCAAAGAGGCCATTAGGAATTATGTGCAGTCACGGTTAGTAACATAATTATGTAGTCTTATTTTGAGAATTCCCTTAAGAATTTATTTAAAGTTAGCATCACCCAATATCGAAATTTTATGCTTTCTGACACGCACATAGACAGGCACGTTATAAGAACCTCAATTTGCTGGAGAACTCTCTGTGCAATAAGAGATCCACAAAGCAAACTAAGTTCCTTACAGCATGCCGCTTGCAGCATTTCGTTGAAATATTTTAAATTCTAAACTGATTATTCTTTGACACACCTGTAATTCTTTATTATATGTAGTTTCATGGACATATGCCAAATAATGTCAGTACTTGGACAATTAAATAATACAGTTCTTTCTTTATTAAGCCATGAAAAATAAATATTTAAAAATGCCGGGTTTGTTACCTCATTAGTTCACGGGATGTGTGGTTTGAATTGGAACAAGCTCATTCACTAAGCGAAGAAAGCGGCTTTTCGGTACAAGAAATTATGGAAACTTGGTTAAAAGAAGAATACTGTCCTGAACTGTACATCAAACGTGATTATGATCAGCGGATTGCGAATTGTTTTTCAACGGGTGCTAAAGCGGGGGATAAACGCGCATGGATAATACCTATTAATTACATTACGGCATCTAGTCGTAAGCCCTACAATATTTCGGAAGTTATTTGGCTCGAATGGGGTAAATTGAAAGTTATTAAAGACATAAAAAATAATGATTTTCTCATACTCAACGTAGAACAAACGGGTAAGAGCATATACCAATATGTTTAATGTATTATGTTGTCCTTTCATGACGAGTATATGTACTTCTATGTATGTGTGCGTGTGAGTACGGGCGCGCGGGTGATGTGTGTGTTGTGTTTAGACACGCACGGGCATCAGAATGTCTGATAATTTAAGGCAACAGCTCAAATGCAAGTAGAACAGATCGCTGAACAGAGAAATGGTAATTATCGACTATAACGGAGCACTCTGCAATGACCTTCACTTTGATATATATTATCAAGAACACTGTCCTGAGTGACAATCAAAAGGTTTTAGCCGGCGCTCATTGTTTTTTAAAAAGTTATTGATGAAAGAAGTTTGAAAAATGTATTACAGTTTTCCGATACTGTGTACCGTTAACGAGCAATATCGAATAATAACTGCAATATCGAACAACTAGCGGGGGGCTGCGCCCCTCAAAACTAACCTAACCCAACCTATCGTCACATTAACATAAAAGTTGAACACTTTAATAAACAATGACTGACGCTTAATGTGACGATAGGTTGGGTTAAGTTAGTTGTTGAGGGGGGGGGGGAGTGCGGGGGCTCAGCCCCCCGCTAATCGTTCGAGATTGCAGTACTTACTAAAAAAAAAGATATTATAAGTTATGTACACTGAGAGAAAAGACTGGTAACTATAACAAACTGCATTTAGTTATAGAAATTCATTGAATCCTTAGTAACTAATACTAAATATGATAATAATTACCAAATATTTAATAGGTCGGGAGTATGACGTAATTGCATTCACAGTAACATCAATTAAATAATTTAGTAATAGTTACTTAATGTTAAATATTTAATATGAAATATATTACAGTTATGAACAGATATTTGATAATTGTTATGAAATCGTTATATCCCATATAATAAAAAATTCAGTAGGTACGAGTTCTATTTTGTTACCAGTATAAGTATGTTTTGTTGCAGCACAACGAAAAATTCATTCATTTGCAGCTATTACATCGTTTCAATATCTATTATTATAGATAGTTGGTTGAACCTATCAAAAATTTTGTAACTATTACAAAATCGCTTATTTTGCTCAACTATTCAATAAGTTTTATTTATCAAATATATTCTGGAAGCAAATAAATTTCACTTCTGTCAAATAAATAATTTATTTTACAGAACTAAATTAATTAATAAATATTGCCATAGCTTTGACCCGCTATATTTACGTCTATCATTTAGTAATAGTAATCAAATTTTGATAATATTTACTAAATTCTTCTCTCAGTGTATGTGTAGTAAACATCTTCTTAATTTACAAATTCAAATGTTTTGTATATAGGATGTTGAAAAATTACATTCATTTTATAAATTTTTGCAAAATTATAACAATCATGCATATATAATAGGAATACATGCACACACCGCGAGTCCGCCCGGGCGGGCGGGCGAGCGCGCGTTTAGGCGCTGTGTGTGCGATTGTGTGTGTGTGTGTGTGTAGGCATCCTCTTAAGTTACAAATTCGATTTTTTATTTATATACGGTGTAAAATTACATTCATTACATACATGCAACTTTTTTGCTAATAATTTTTTAACAACCAATGAGCGCCGGCTAAAACCTTTTGATTGTCACTCAGGACAATGTCCTTGATAATATATATCAAGGTGGAAGTCATTGGAGGGTGCTCCGTTATAGTTGATAATTACCAGAGAAATTATGTAATGATGTCCATAAAAAATGTCTCTAAAAAACTTCTTTCACCGCATAAAATATAATCATTCTTCAATGTATTCTAATTGTTATTTATATATGCTCTGCATCGAATCACTGAAATATACTTTTCATACAGGTTGTCACGCACGCGCGTGACTTATCGGCGTTTGACAATGTTACATTAAGAAACACATTTTATTTGTTAAATAGCACGTATATTGTGTAGCAATTATAACAGCATTTTACAATAACGTTTTGTTTGGAAGTAAAAATATCAACCGACTTGATCAGTAATTTTACGGTGACCTACGAGGCAAGGAATATGTTAACTCTCGCTATTTATAGAATAGTATTGGACATTTTTCAGTTCAGTTTAGTGCGCTCTGCCTGCTCGCATTTTGTATCAAATATTTTGTATATTTTGAAATGTCCAATTGTCCCATAAATCCCATAAAAAGATAAACATTTTTATTGACGTTTTTCACGAAACCCATCTATATTTGAGATAGAAGTGGAATAATCTTTTCTCGTTATGTGCAATTAAAAGTTTTCAATACATTAATAATAACAATAAAATAATCTAATAAAATGTAATAATCTGATCAATAATAAAATAATAAAAAAATAAAAAAACATAATTTAATAAAATTAATTTTACGGCAGGTTACTATCGTGTTAATTACGATAGGAGGAACTGGCTACTGATATCGACTTACTTGCAAAAGTATAATTTCTCACACATACCTCCCATTACCCGCGCTCAACTCTTAAATGATGCGTATTATTTCACAATACAGCATCATACAGGACCTTATATCTTTACCAATGTCACTAAGTTTCTAAAGGAGGACCAAAATTTTATAGCATGGTATCCTATGTTTAATATTTTCTCAGAAATGTCAACTTACCTTGAATTAGATGAGGGCAAATCTGTAAAGGTGAGTAAAAAAGAATTTCATAGATAATACTTATCAGCTGTTAGCATATATACACGATTGTCTAAGAGAAAACATGATAAATACATTAATATGTAAATCTAAAAGAGTTTCGCACATGCTGTATCATCAATCACAAAGATGATGTTTATTTAAATAACAAAATAAAAATATTAATATAACATAACATACGATTTTTAGGGACACTTTTTGGATATTCAAACTGTAATTGGTAAACTGGGGTACGAAGATAATCCATCGGATAATGCCATGAAGAAATCGTTCAGACATTTACTTCGAAAATGGTCTTGTAAATTTGGTCACTGGCTGTGTCGAAATGCCGCACGCTTTCGTTTGTTGACTTATTTAGACAATGATGAACTAGACAAGTAATTCTTTTCGTAATCTACACATATTCCCTCAATATACTTGATGAATTATATGAATAAACTGTACCATTCGACATCGTTTCTTGTCTAAAAGTGGTCAAGAAATAATATCAAATGCTAAATTGTCGTTATATATACAAGCATTTATTTTTTTCATATATTCCGCAGCATTCCGGCAAACGTGAAAGATTGGATGATTTGTAATGGGTTGAAGACAGCAGATATAAATTTTTGGACGTTGTTTCTATATAGAATTATGAATCACACTAACACGGAGAAGTATATAGAGTATTTATCATGTCCTGAAAATAGTACGGTCATCCTGCATTACTTAGATATGCTTACATGGACATTTCGTTTCTCCAAAATACAACAATTTACGGGACAAATGTATCGTAATATTGTGAAAAATCATATTAAGAGAAATGATGTGTTACAATTTGTGATCAACAATTATGGTTCAATAATAAACAGGTATTATTTTTCGTGACGAAAGTAGATTGTTTTTCTTTGAGAAATGTGTGTAGTGGTGTCTACTAAAGTTAAATCTAATTATTTGCAATTTCGCAGATTTCCTGAGCAATTATCTGTTGACGCTTTCTTAAGTGATATATATATGAATGTGTATTCGTTGAAGGACCTTGACACGGTAAACATTACATTGTAAAATTCCTTAAATTTTATTTCTCACATTATAATTCTATTTAACCACTTTGCGCTTCTCTGTATACATTGTGTGGATTAAGTTGTTTTATTTATTAAAAAAGTTTATGTCGTGATCCGTTATTGTCATACTGACAAAGTAACGATTTATATATATAATTAACTGTTCTAGGTACATGAATTTGGACGTAACAGTTCCTTTTGGAAACCGGGCAATGTTAGTCAACCATTGGAAATATTTGTTAACCATCGGAAAGCATATCTAAAGAAAGTGTTGTTGAAGTTTAGGAGGTTTCATGGTGAAATTTTCTGATTTTGTTATCGTTATGGTTTTACGAATTATTGAACAAATTGACACTATGTGAAATTATCGAAATAATCGTCATACAATTATCATTTAGAATGCATTTCCAAAATGATAAACAATGTTTAATATTAGGAATGCTAAAATGTGATATGTGCTACCTAGCTTCCCAAAACATTAAAATGAGTCTTGTACTTAACGTAAAATAAGATTTATCTTTTTACTGCTTACGTAATGGATGAATAATCGTTCATTAGATCGTTAAGATGTTAAAGGAGATTTATTTAGAACGAATAGTTATATAATGAGTAGATAAACGAGAATTATTATAAAAAGGGACTGGTATATACATCCTTCGTAACCTCAGGACAATGTATGTACATTGTATTGAAATTGTTTTTTGTTATTATTGTTTAATAAACTCTTCTGCACAAATTCTTTGTTGTTTCTATTCTTGTGGCATTCTGAACTGTATTACTTATAGTGTCTTAAAATATCTTGTCATGGCCATTGTCTTTATTCCATTGAACGTTTCTTTTGCAGTAATTCGTAGAGATCCGTAATGGGAGTGAACAAAATAGTCCCGTTAAATATCGGCAATGGCGCGAATAATTCAAGACAATTGTTAAAAGGCCATCATTCAGCAATAAGGTTGACTCTCATAAGTTGTTACATATGCTTTCGTTATGGTATTCCGCTCGGCAAGTCCAGGTTTGACTCCTGACTAAGATGGTATTTTTCGCAAATATAATTATGAATAAAAAAATGGGCAATTTTTATATAGTTAATTAATGTTAATATTAAAAATTGGAATACAAGGTCAATTTGATGTAGAAGGTTTATTCGCCGTGTACGTTATAAGAGACTAGAAAACCTAATCGACATTTGCGTTTACACTATAAAACATTATTATCCTTCCAAAATTTAGTAAAACATTTTTTCCGTTAGTATTCGGCTCTTACTTGTCAAAAATAGGTTTAATTTAAGTTGTATATTTTTAAAAGTCTATGTATGTAAGATTATTATTGATATCTTTTATATGTTACACGTATTCTGCACTTTTGAGGTATATATATATATATATATATATATATATATATATATATATATATATATATATATATAATTAATATGTAACATCTTTCGGTCACATTTTACACGTATCCTAAATGTACTTTCAATAAATGGGATACGAAAAATATTCATAGAATGACGCTATGATGACGTTAAGATGCTGCTATTAAGAAATTCGATATGGATTCAAGAATAAATTTGCAATTGTCTTAATAATCGCTATTTTTTATTTGTGTAATATCTCCCACATTTATTTGTGTAATATGTTTGTGTAATATCTGCCATATTATGTTTAAGAAATAATAACTCAAGATCCATATCAATGACTGGACATGCATTACAAGTTGTTCTTCATATAAATCATAGAATTCTGTCGATATTGGAAGATTGGATATTTTGTTCGAGTGCACATTGTGCGTAAACTTAAGGATTTGGCACACTATTTTTCTTGAAAAAACAAAACGTGAAAATAAAAAGCTTTTAAACCATTTGGCTTGTTCTGAGAAGAAAGATATTACTATACATTATTTGAGTATGATAACGAAAATATATCATGGAAAACAGATATAAGAAGTGTCGTTTTAACGCACGAATTTGCCAATTTTCTACAATTCACATCTAAAAAATTATGGTATCTGTTTGGAAAATAAGATAGGACGTTTTTGCTCTAGTTTGACAAGTTTAAATTATATATGAGTAGATGCACGCGATGTAACGAACTGTAAGTACAACTCATCGTTCATTTCACGTGTTGGCAAGAACATATAAAGAAAGGAAGTAAAGATTTATATTATGGAGAAAGCGAGAACGTTGGAAAGCAAGAGATTGGAAACTATGTACTTCTTTGTCATTTTAAACCAACATATTCTTTGTAATTGTTAGTATTATGCTATAAATCATACTGTTTCTGTAATTTTACAAACATTTTACGATTCAAAAATATATTAAAATGTTTTCAAATGTACAAAACTTAACTGATAATTTGGTTACCATGAAGATACATCTAAGATATTTCATATAATATATCTGACAAAGAATAATTTTAAAAGTAAACTAAAGGAACTGAGTTTAGAGAACACAGAAGAAATAAATATTAATGCTTGAGGAAAGTTAGAATTATTGACTAGTTTTTGAAAATTGTTGCAAATGTTAATGTCAATATTGTTAAATGCATTTCTCAACCGCATTTTTACTTTAATACGTTTTAAATACTTGAAATACTCTTCATCTGGATAACTCACTTATATAAAAAAATGTTTAACGTTAGAAATGCAAATTTTTTAAGATAAATCATATATCGAATAGATGTTTTGTATGAGTTGCTTTCGTAAATCACTTGCGTGCATGTGTTTTTTGACAGACGGCGTTTCTTATATATGTTTTTCTTATATAGGAGTTTAGTTTGTTTATTGTAGTTCTTATATATAAATATATAAGATACAGATATTGTTGTTAGTTTAAAGTGATTCGTCGAAAAGATAAAAGATATCATATATATAAGTACTTTTTATAGTTGTTATTATTATGCTATAAATCATACTGTTTCCGTAATTTTACAAACATCTTACTCTATACAAGCATTTTACATTCCAAAAATATATTAAAATATTTTCAAATGTATAAAACTTAACTATTGGTTAATTATAATTAGGCTACCATAAACGTACATTTGAGATATCTCATATAATATGACAAAGAGTAATATTAGAAATAAAGAAAAAGAACCAAGTTAAAGGAAATAAAAGGAAATAAACATTGAAACTTAAGGAAGGTGAGAATTATTGAATAGTCTTCTTCAAATTATTGCAACTGTTAATGTCAATATTGTTAGTTGCATTTGTCAATCGCATTTTTACTTAAATACGTTTTAAATATTTCAAACACTCTTCATCTGGATAACTCACGTATATAAAAAAATTTTTAACGTTAAAATTGCAAATTCTTTAAGATAAATTATATATCGAATAGATGTTTTGTATGAGTTGCCTTCATAAATCACTTGCGTGCATGTGTTTATTGACAGACGACGTTTCTTATATATGTTTTCTTTATGTAGGAGTTTAGTTTGTTTACTTTAATTCTTATATATAAATATATAAGATACAGATATTGTTGTTAGTTTAAAGTGATTCGTCAAAAAGGAAAAAGATATCATATTCAAATTATTTTTCCTAGTAAATAAATTATTGAAGAAATGTTTATCAGCCCAAATTTTCGGCAAACATAACAGAGCGTCTTGCAGGAAAAACTATAAGCGTCATTTTCAAACTTTAAGTTATACAGTAAGCTGTCTCAACATTATTTAGAAAGAAACAGAAATAACAAACGTTTTATCTAGCACTTGATAATATTATCAGCGCAATCATTAAGAATATAATTATGTCAACAAAATGAAGTCTTTTTGTAAATATCGACAAACATATATAATTTATAATTATCTCACAACTAAGGAACGAGCATATCAAAGAATACAGCTGTGACTTATGCTTCCTGCCATAAAATTGCATTTTAATTCGCAATATACTTCGTAATATACTTTTGTAATACCGCAAGTAAGCATTGCATTATTCATGAGTGAATTGGAATATAATTACACAATCTGCGCTACGGTTATAATTCGTAAGCACTGCTAAAAATCAGAATTAAAATTGTCAAAATAATACTTAAGAATTAACTAACTTTAACTCCAACGTATCTTTTTTAATTATTTTTATATTATTTCTTACGAGAAATTATTGCATTTCGTCTGAGATATTATATTTATTGCACATAACATAGATAATAATTAAAACTTCATTATTTCGACATCACAACATGTAATCGATAGAACGCTTATAGTATATCTCTAACATTTTCCTGTATTCTATTCTACTAAAATATTTTTCAAGGAATCCTTTTAAATATATAATATTGTTTAGTTTTTCTATCAGCTTAATTTTTAACTTTGCAATATTAGGAGAACGGCGAGATAATTATTTGTTTAGCCAGAGGAGATAACGCAATATTACATATCACCGATATATTACTCTCATTAACATATATCGATTAACATATAAAACTTCAAACGCTTTCCTATTTTCTTTCTTCCTTATTATCTAAAATGGCAAACTAGCGAACGATATCGTTACGTAGTATTTTACTTAGACAGAGGATAATTATTTTTGTGCAGATATTGAAAACGAAAATGAGGTCGATAATATTTCTTGGAGTCGTTCTGATATTTACCGTCGCGGTCGATTGTGGAAATATTTCCAGAAATATAACGGATTGCTCACGTGTATCTGAGAATTTAAACATCTCTGAAGTAATGCCAATAAAATATGATGTTAGAATCATAGTGAGACCAGGTCAAAGAGTATTGTCAGGCATCCTGAATGTCTTGATTGACATCAAGAAACCAATGTCAAACATAAGCTTACATGCAGTAACGATGACACGCGGCTACGATACTTTTCTTTCATACGCCACGAATATTACGATGTTTGATTCATTTTTAAAGACTGAACTGGGACGTATATCTTATAAACTTTTCAAGTACCAATATTGTGACAGAAAGAATGTTTTATTTTTGAAGTTTAACGAAACACTAAGTAAAGGAAAATATCGTTTAACACTAATTTATAGATCCATTACAAATCTTGATATCCAGAATATCTTTTATCCAACTACTTGGACTAGCCAAAATCAAAAGTGAGTAAAACATGAGATATTTTTAATTATATATTACAATGTATTTAACGATAACATATTAACGTCTTTTGTACGCGTAATTTTCTCACTTCTTTAATCCGTTATGCCCGTACATAGCGGTTGCATAGCGAAATAACAGACATCTTGTATGTAATATATATAATGAAAAAATATGATATTATAGATATTAGAACAAGTATTACATATTTAATGTACAGATTGATATAATAATGCTACAAATTTTTTTCGGCATAATACTACAAACTTGAAAACTTTATATGAAATATCTAATAGTTAAAACGATAGAAACACGCATCTATAATGAAACACCATATTAACATCAGTCTTGCATATGTACACTGGTTAGATCAGTTACACACCAGTAAAACATTTATCCTTATCAAATATTTTATTTTGCAATACAATAGATGGTTGCTCACGAATCTCTACACACCGCATGCGATACGAGGATTCTTTCCATGCTGGGACGATCCGAGAGTAAAAGCAACTTACAACATCTCCGTCCAGTTTCCTACAGATTACACAGTTCTTTCAACAATGTCCGAAATATATTCTTCCTATGTGGATCCAGCGCTTACAACATTTGGGATAAAATTCATACAGTTCAAAGAATTAATTTTAATGCCCACTCATCTGATAGCATTTTTGATAGTCGGTGATATCACGATGGATTTTGATAAACGCGATATCCATTATATGTGGCATAAAATAGACGCGGGTAAAAGATTCACTTACTTGCTAGAAATGGCAGAAAATGCAACATGTTATATTTTTATTAACATGAAAATAAACTCTTCGTTCATCTCTCCAAAAATTAACCATGTTGTACTTCCAAATAGTCCCATGAAGTCAATGGGTGCGCCTGGTCTTGTTGTTTACAGGTATTTTTATTTATATTAAATAATCACATTAAAAATGTTGTTATATAAGCTATTAACAAGGTATTCTTAACACCCTGAAATTCGATAACATGCATATATCTGAATCCAAGTTTAGTACGTCGTATAAAGACATGCTATTACATATTAATACTATTATTAGGCAATAGTAATGTTAATACACTTTGTATAAAACAAATAGATACACATTGCCACGGAGCAGTGTGTAAAAATGTTTTTAAATATATATAATATGAGCAAACTATAAATATAATTTACTACTTGTAACGTGTAATTGGTAGGGTAAAGTATGATATGTTATCCTAAATGTTCAAATTCCATTTTTCTATTTTTTTTTTAAATTCCATTTCTGTTTAAGTCCATTTAATTATATATATATATATATATATATATATATATATATATATATATATATATATATGTGTGTGTATGATGTATGTATGTCGTAATGACTTTTGCTAAATGTATTTTCATTCAATTTACAGAGAAAGAGATATTTTTTTTGATGCAGCTTTAGATTTTCCCGGGCGGTATCTTGATGTTATGGTGTTAATAACATACGAAATGGCACGTCAATTGTTCCTCGGTGCTGTCATCCAGTATTCAAATGTTGATTATGTATGGTTGAACGAGATGTTCTCATCATTCTTCGGCTATTATATCACAACCAAGGTTACTTTATGCCATAAGAATAAGCAAATTGCAGATAAGCTTTTGTTATTAATGTATTTTTTTGTTAATTGAAAGTACTTAAATTCTTGAAAACATATAACATTAATGACAAAAATACGATTATTTATTTTGTTAGTTCGAACATTAGCTTTCATGTAATAATAATTAGTGGTAACAGATAGTGATAAACTATTTCTAGGTATCGACACAACGTCGAACAATGGAACTGTTCGTAGTTAAAATTATTCAGCCCGCTCTAGATAGTGACACGTTTTTAGAGAGAAAACCTATTTTAAGCAAGACTAAGAACAGCGGTGGAATTGATGCATTACTTTATCCTGTCTTGTATCATAAGAAAGGTAAAGAAAGGCTGAATAAATATTTATGTGTTTATCCGATTATGCTTAACTTATTTAATTATACGTTTTATCATTTGCATGTAGCCTTCGCTCTAATTCGCATGCTGTTCAAATTATACAATACTGAAACTTTCATCGAGGCTATTAAGAAATATGTACACGAACGGTTAGTAACGGCTAGTAACATAACTATGTGATTTTATATTTGAGAATTCCCTTGATAATTAACGAAGCTGGCGTCACCCAATATCAAAATTTCATGCCTTCTAGCATGCATATAGACGAGCACATTACGAGAACCTCAATTTACTAGGCATTTCCGTGCCATGCATTGGGAGATTTACGAAACTGAAGTTAATAAACTAAATTGCTTACAGCATGTTGGACACACGCTTGAATATCGATGCATGAAATCGTATACTGTTTAACGCTAACTTTAAGCAATTAGTCTTTGTATTCCTTTTCCAGTAAATTAAGCTTACATCTTATGTTATTATTTATACGAAGTACATACAAAAAATGGGAACTTTCTATATTTTAAATTGATTACAATAATGCATTTGTAATTTCATATTACACGTAATTTCACGAACAAATATTAAATAATGTCAGCAGTTGGATAGTTAAATAATACAGTTTTGATATGTCTTCCTTTATTAAGTCAGCAGTGAAAGCTAAATATTTACAAATACCACGTTTGTTACTTTGTTAGTACAAAGGACGTGTGGACTATATTGGAAGAAGCTTATTCTCTAAGATTCGAAAGTGGCTATACTGTAAAAGACATTATAGATACTTGGTTAACTGCAAAACATCACCCGGAACTGTTCATCCAACGTGATTATGAGAAGTGGACTGCAGATTGTATTTCATCGCTTACATTCATCGAGGGTAAACCCGAATGGATAATACCTGTTAACTACATTACGGAATCTAGTTACGAGTCCTACAATATCTCGGAGGTTCTTTGGCTTAAATGGGGTAAAGTGAAACGTATTACTGCCATAAGTAGTGATGATTTTCTCATAGTCAACGCAGAACAATTGGGTAAGAGCACATATTAATATATTTAAAGTACTAATATATGTATAAATGTACGTATGCACACACACATACACACATATTAGGATATCTGATAATTTGAAGAAATAAACTGAGATGTAAATAGAACAATTCAAACTGAACAGGGGAGTTATGCAATAACGTCCACGAAATAAATTCACTGAACATAACCGACCGTAAAAAATATATTCATTCTCCAATGCTTTCTAATTGTTATCTATACATGTTCTATATCGTGCAAATTAAATACAATTTTTTATATATATTGTGCACGCGCGACTTAACTGTCGACAACATTACATTATAAACTCATTTAATTGGTTAAATGGCACGTGTGCTATAGTAATTATAAAAATATTTCATGATGTTTCTTGTTTCGGAGTGAAAATATCAAATAGAGATTTTTATCAGAAATTTTAGGGTGACCTACATTGCAAATACATATCAATAACCGCTATTTGCAAAAATAGTAGAAGATATTTTCCGTCCAGTTTAATGCGTCCTATCTACGTATGAATGGCTCTTATGTAAAATATTTTATATATTTTATATATTTTATATATTTTGAAGTTTCTGAATGTTTCATAAATCTCATAAACATATGTTTATTTCTACTGAAGCTTTTCTCGTAAACAAATGTAGATTTGAGGTAGATGTGAAATAATCCATATGAAATATATTTTTCGATAAATGCAAACAAAATTTAATATGTTAATAATAATTATAAAATAATCTAAAAATATACTAATTCAATAACTAATAATCTAATAAAAATAATAACAACATATTAATCTAATAAAACATATTTTACACATTTTAGGATACTATCGTGTTAACTACGACACCAGAAACTGGTTAATGATATCGACTTACTTACAAAAGAAAAATTTCTCACATATACCTTCCATTAACCGCGCCCAACTCATAAATGATGCGTATTATTTCACAATAAAGAATCAATTGGAAACTTATATCTTCGTCAATATCACTAGGCATCTAAAGTTGGACACGGATTTTGTAGGATGGTACCCTATGTTTAATATTTTGTCGTATATGTCAATATACTTTCAATTCTCTGAAAGTAATCGTATCAAGGTGAGTAAAAGAAATTTTATAGATAATACTTATTATCTGAACACAATTGTCTAAAAGAAATAAGAAGTCATAGTATGACTAATTAATTAATTGATAAATCTAAAAGAATTTCGCAATGTTGTACCAACTCGTACAAAGACAACATCTGCTTAACTAACGACGTGATTTGACATTATTAACATTATATAACGTACGCTTCTTAGAGACACTTTTTGGAAATCCTAGATGGAGTATCTACTATAGTAGGATTCGAAGACAATTCAGAGGATGATATCATGAGGATATCGTTGAGATATTTAATACGAAAATGGGCCTGTAAATTTGGTCATTCGGCGTGTCGAGGTGCCGCATTAGACCGTTTAATGAATTATATAAATATTCAGGATGAAACACACAAGTAATTCTTATGAATTTAACAACACATCCTTTAATATTAATGATGAATTATAAAACTGAAAATAGTTAAATTGTAAGAATTTATGAGCAGATCTGCAATTCTATGCAGACTATATGTCGTACGATAACTCGTAAATATCTACTATTTCTCGTATATCTTACGACTAACTAGAAGTTGTCAATAAAGTTACGGTTTGTGAATTTTACCAACATTACGATTGATTCATAAGCCACGACTTTACGATTTTACGATTTAATTGTATATTTGCTTAGAACTGCAGCAGAAGGAATAATATTGAATGCTAAACTGTCTTTACACACACGCACACAATCACACACACAAGCGTTTATTTCTTTTTATTCCACAGAGTTCCAGCAGTATCAAAGGAATGGGTATTTTGTGATGCATTAAAGTTAGAAAATTTAAATGTATGGAAAAATATTTTAAATAGAAGTATGGTTTACAATAACATGGAGCTTCTAAATTATTTGTCATGTACAGAAAATACAACAATTATTATATATTATTTAACTTTGATATTACGGACAGATCATTTCTCGGAAATAAAACAATCTATGGGTCCAATATGTCGTAATATTGTGAAAAAACATGTTAGGAGAAGCACTGTGCTACGTTTTGTTATTGACAATTACGAAAGAATACAAGTCAGGTATTTCTTTTCCATGTCGAGTGTATATTATTTATACATAAATAATATAGCAATATCTATAAAAGTTAAATCGTATGTTTTACAATTTTACAGGTTTCCGCAAGATTTCCCTCCTGGCATTCTATTAAGTGATATAATTATGAACGTGTATTCGTTGGATGATCTCGACATGGTAACTTTTATGTAAAATTCCTTAAATTATTTGTCCCACACAAATATAATTTTCTTTAATCACAGTGTATTTCTCTATGTACATTGCGTAAATTAAGTTGTTTTGTTTATTAAAACAGATATTTATATTGTAGCCTATTATGGTCATGTCGTCAGAGTTGTAACGATTTAAATATCCAATTAACTATTCTAGGTACAAGAATTAGCAAGTAAAAGCACTTGGATTACGGATGATATATTCAAAGCATTCGACATATTAATTTCCCAGTGGAAGAAATACCTAAGAAATGTTCTGAGCAAGTTTCAAATGTTTCATATCGGTTTTAAAATACGTTAAGAGGTCATTATTATGGTTTCCCGGGGCAGTGAACAAATCCACATGATGCAATACAATCAAAATAATTGTCATACAATTGCATTTATCATTTAAAAATGCGTTGCCGAAAAATAAACTGAATAAATATATTAATGAATAAACGAGATTTCTATTAAAGAAAGAACTGATACATACATACTTCGTAATCGTAGAGTTATTTATGTACATTGTATTCAAATTGTTGTTTTTTGTTTTCATTATTTAATAAATTCTTATGCAACAACTCTTCGTTGTTCTTATTCTTGTGGCATTCTGAACTGCATTACTTACAGTATCTTAGAACATTTTGTCATGGTACTCGCCTTTATACCATTAAACGTTTATTTTATAGTAATCCGTAAAAATGAGGGTGAACAAAATAGTCCCGTCAAATGTTGGCAATGACGCGAAAGACTCAAGTCAATTGTTAAACGGCCTTCACTCCGCGAAAACGTTGACTCTCTTGAGTCGTTACATATGCTTTCGTTACGGCATCCCGCCTGCTAGTGGAAAGGTCTAGGACTTCTCACTGAGACGATATTTCTCGTAACTATGAATTATAAAAAAATGGGTAATCTTGGTGTAATATTATGGAGGTTAATTAAAATTTATTTTAAAAATTGAGATACGAGATCGATTTGACACAGAAAATTGATTCATCGCGTACTTAATAGAAGATCTGGAAAGTCTATCCGACACTTGCGTTTACCCTATTAAATATTATTATGTAACATTTAGTAAAACGTTTTCTCGAACATTAGCGTTTGGCTTTTACTTTCCAAAAATATGTTTGATTAAATTGTTTACTTTCGAAGGAATATATATATATATATATATATATATATATATATATATATATAT